CTTTCCTGCCTATGAATAGAGAACTATCAGGTTGGTCTATCAGAAATCACCCAGCATTTTTAAATGGGAGCTTTTAGTGCAGGTAATGCCTTTATCCTATACTGTCAGATACACACTACAATTCTAAAAACAATAAAGAAAATAATTACCTTCCCCCATTCAACTGTTCCTAATTCTCAACATAAAAAAGCTGCAATGACTCATCAATGGAAATTGCTGCAGTTCCTTGGGAGCTTTTCCATTAAAAAAATCTTCTGATCACTTGGGCTGACTACCAAGACCAGGTGCAGAATTCTGATCCCTGAGCTATCGTAAGAGATGACAATTGCCTCTGGAAGCAAGGTCAGGCCTAAATGTATGCAAATCCCAGAGTCTGAAGACTTATGGAAGACAACAGACTGTAAGACAAAAATAGAAATCTCTGCACCAAATAATTTCTTAACTAGCAAGAGAACGTCTTGTCAATCAAGCAGCGTTATAATTAATTAATATGACAAATAAGTGTTCTAATATACTTTCTGTATGATTTGGGGAAATGTAGATACAATTCATAAGTTATGGTTCATGTTATGGAATGATACAATTGCTATAGGTTTGTGTACCACTGTAAACATGTATCTACTTTTGTTGATCAGGACTGTATGACATTTATCCCTGGAAAGATACTAAGGGAAACCAGCAAGTTTAGTGACTGGGCTCTGGCTGTGCAACAGGAATACTAAAAAAAAAAAAAAAAAAAAAAAAAGCAAACTAAAAGCATAACCTTGCTTTGTTTGTAGGAAAGAGAGGATAGAAGGTAAAAAATATACAAATTTTAAGCTAAAGAGGGAAAGATGTTGATAGGACTTTTAATGGACTCCAAGAAACATACTGAACGATTTAGCCAGGAGAAAATGCAAGATGAGCATATTTAGCCTAAGACTCCATAGCTCAAGAGCAAACCAGGAAGACACAGGACCATGTTCCAGACACAACCCAGAGGGCTTAAACATCAGAAGTGGGTAAAGCTTTCAGGGTGTGTTATTTTAACATAGATGTATTATGTCACACTGTTATAGTAAAGGACAGCAGTGGCTTCAGAATACCTACAAGTGTTTTTGGGCATGCTCTCATATCCATCATGGCCTCCCTCATGAAAATCTCAAGAACACCCCCCAAGATTCTGGGGAGTTGTTTTTAACCTGAAGTGAGATCTGGAGATAGCTGCTCCATTGCATTAGGCAGTTCAACAGCAGATTGAAGCACACAGGTGATAGTGCTAAAATATGAAACCTTCTTTCAAGTATGTTCCTGAGATGCCAGGCTTGGGGGAATAACCAGATTCTGTTTAGTTTCCAAACCTATAGGGTACATTGGATCCATGGAAAGCAGCCCAAAACTTCAGTATGGCAACCTCTAACAAATACTATTCAGATTCTCATTTTAAATTGTTTGTGTTTCCAGTTAAAACCGTATCAGGACAAAAGATTCTTTTGAAAAATGTTAATCTCAAATTCCTTTTGATGAAATACAAAAACAGTATAGTGGTAAGCCACAGTGGGGATTTTTCAGTGATAGTAAAGGATCTCTCTCGTCACCTGAATCTATTATTTTCTATTTATGAGACTATTCTGATGTTACAGCTCAACTCCAAGTCTTCATTAAGAGTATATATAGGAAGTACTACTAAGCAGTGAAGCAGTAAGAAACAGTAAACTTAAGGATGCCCACACATCTCAATGAATGCACATCTACCAGTTTACACACCGATTTCGTTGGCACATACTGCATTCAAATAACAATAAACTTGCTATTTCTTCTACAGTCAGAGTACTTGGGAGTTTACTAAAATTGTACTAATTATAATTTGAATTTTAACTATTTATGCAAGTTTCCTGCTCCCTAAAATATTTATTTTAATAATTTTGACAAATAATTAAGGTTTTTTTTTTTTAACCTGTTACACAGTTTTTATTATCTGGGAGCAGAGTCTTATAAATTAGTGCATGCTGACCTGTTCAGGGGCACAGACCCAGAACAAAAGGTTTTTTCTTAGCTGCATGAGAAGATACTTCAGGCCAGAAGCCCTGCAAGTTGGGCTACTGCAGTCCTTTGGCTCAGCTGCTATGTGCTGGCTCTCAGATGAACCTGATTGAATCTATCTTTGCGGAAGTGACCTAAAAAAAAAATTCTCTCAAAGTTATAAATATAGATGCAGTTGGGATTTTTCTTGTGTCAACTTCTGACCAGCGTGACCAATCTGAAATGTAAGACAATCTTAAATATATCTGCATTAAATACTTCTACAGTCTCGGGTACTAACACTTCATTTACCCTCCTCCTAGGGGAATCGATAATAACAATAAAAAAAAGAGACTATTAATAATTTACATTATTTTACAATATTGCTTGCCCCAGGTAAGTAGAATTTTGTAGAATAAATATTAACCTGGATTTAAATTGAAGTTGAAAGAATGAGGTTTTCAAATATATGCACTCAAACGATCTGTGAATATATGGAAGTGATTAAAGAAAATCCTGTTAACTTCAGTCAGACCACAGACTTAGGTCAATATTGAGATCTTTTAACCATCTCATAAGTCTCCTGCAGATATGCATTATCAGCCCCATAACAGAAACCATTTTTTTTTTTTTTTCTGCAGAGAACTATTTATTGTCACTGTGCTTTCAGACACTCTTCAGTGTGGACACAGCTAGTTGCTAAATCCACTAGCAAGTGGAATAATTTCAATATTTCCTTCGTGAATTGACTGCAGAAGCATATTATCTGTTTAAATGGTCAGTCCTTAAATGTGAGGCTTTTAGTTACTACAGATTTTTTTTTTTTCAGAATAAAAATTTCTTAAAAAAAGAAAGTAACAGGATTGTAAATGGGAACTGATGACTACCTGAACCAATGTCAAATTCAGAGAAGACAAAGAACTCACCTATTTAGTGTAAAACTTACAATTTTTCCCCCAGTAAAAAAAGATTATTTTTTTCCCCTCAAGTAAGGATTTTGACCAAATCTTATCTTCAATTCATAACAGTGCTAAAATGTTGCTCACAAAGCACATAGCAAGTCACATAAAAATATGTAGCAAGTGTTTAATCTTCAGTGGAAAGTCTAGTGGTTAACCATGCAAACAAATTATTTAACGTTTTCCTCAGGAATCACTGAATTTCCATCTCCAGAGTGGTTAACATCTGCGTGTCATTTCAGTAACACATAGTTATGGTCAGGACGTCGAGAGTCTGTATCCCCTAAAGCAAAAATGTGGAGGTTAATGTTCTAAGGCACTTGATTCAACCAGACTAATAAATTTTCTTTCCCCTGTAGATGATTTAAGTGAGGTAATTTAGACAATCAGAGCTGGGAAACTTATGCTTAGCTAAACGAATCATGAGTCTACAGAATGCTTAAATTCATAAAAAGACTGAGGGTTGCAACAAGCAAACTGACAAAACTGTTGAAGAAATGCAATCACGGGAAAAATAAATAGAACACGGAATGTCTGTAAAGAGGTATCAGGCATAGGAACAAAAACTAACAGTAATTTTTTCCTCTGCCTACAAGGCCAGTGATAGTATTTCCAGTGTGTTACTGTAAGACCACTGTATAGCTCACAGTCCTTCCAATTAGGAAGGTTATGTATATAGAGAGAGAGTTGTGTAAAACAGGAAAGATCACAAAAGTACATGCAAAACCAGAACAGAGCCAACAGGATAGAAATAATAATAGAAGGTGAAAATACAGCCTGTTTGCACCAAATTAGGACAGCATATCTAGGCACAAATGATATGCACTAATATAAATACTTACCAGAAAAAAATTTCTCAATGGAAAGATGAAGCACCTTGTTGAATAATCCATCTTTAGACTTAAAAGTTATTGTTGCTTTGAAATATTAGGTTGGTATAGTGTTTCTTTAAAAACTGAATGTTGTAATCCCTTACATGGCAGAAAACACTTTTTGCAACTTCCCTTATGCTTAATATAAAAAGCAAGAACAAAAGATGTATCAAAAATAATTTACTTCTGTGTTTCCAGAGGCAGACCAAAAGTAACTGAAGGGTTGAATTTTAAGAGTACAAGTTTATTTATTGCCCTGATAAAACTGGTAGTGGTACACAGCCTGTAACTGCCTTTGTACAACTCTCCTGTTACAATCACTATTTCAGTAACTCTGGGTTAGCAGACAGACTACTTAATCCAAGAAGACTTCTCCCTGTCCAGGGAACTTCTCTGAAACTGTAAACAGGGTGGTCCACATTGCTGAAGAACAGCATGACAGGATCTTCTCTTACAACACTATTTCTAATAATACTGCGTACTTCACGAGCAAAATCTTCCTCTTAAATCTACATGATAAATTTTGATTGGGATAGTCTACTCTTCCTATTGCTATGAATGTAAACTGAAGTTTGCAGTGGACCAAAAATCAAATTGACAGTTATCAGAAATTGAGAGAATAGCTCCCTTCTTTGAAACTTTTTTTTTCCCCAAATTAGTACAAAAGAATCTGCAGTTGAGTATTTGTTCCTTGTCTAGCCATTTTGTTTTGTTGACATTTTCTAACACACAAATGGATCTATAAAGTACCACAGTAGATGATAAATTGGAAAATGTCATCATACAAATAAATAAAAAAAAAAAAATCTAAGGGAAATAAAACTTAGCACAATTTATACTTAAAACAGAGGAGGCTACTACAAGATGTTCTATAGTGGCATACATATTTCAATGTAATCTGTAGATTTCCTGAAGAAAGTATGCACACCATCATTCATCTCACAGGCAGAATTTGGCAATGTAGTATTTAAAAGCAACACAAAGCTCTCTTATTTAACTTACCAAAATGCTAATGCTGTAATCTCCAAAGAGATTCATGTAATTCATACACCCAAATCCCACTGAAATATGAGCATCCAATTCAAATTAAGTTTTTGAACATCTCTTATGAATTCCCAAATCACGCTACAATTCCCTCTGTCAAGACAGGTTTTCATTATTATATCACCTTTCTCATAGAGCTCCTCCATTGCTCTCCAGGTTTCAGCTCGGACCTCTCGATTGCTTTTACCTGGAACATGTGCATCAGGCCAGTGTATTAGATAAAGATCTAAAAAAGAAACAGAATCAGACTAATCATTCAAGTGTCAAAAAAATATATACAACAAACTACATGAAACAGCATTTTCCCTCCATAATGGCCCTAGCATGTCATCATCAAAATAATTAAAATTACTACTCCAGGAACATTACTGTATACGTTCATTTAGTTTTAATAAACAGAATCTACAACATCTCATTAACAACTAAAGGTAGCAGACCTTGCACATGTGCTGCAGGTTTAGGTCACGGTAATCAGAATTTCATGGTCACATATGCACTTAATAAACTTTCAACACATAACAATCCCCATTTAAATCAAAGGGATTTTGGTTACCGGAATTAAGACTGGACTACTGCTGAAGTGCTACAAATCTTCAAGTATATGGAAGATAAGTTTGTTTGGCAGTTGTACAGGTATCTTCTACCATCTCAGGAGTGTGGCTGTTTTTTTCCTTTTGGAAGAATACTTCCATTTATGAATTTCTGTTGGAAATCACAGCATACTCTTTCATGTAGTTTTTTTGCTAGAGATCTGTGGCAGCATTTGTGATTTTTTTTAAGCATTTTTTTAAAATATTAAGGGAACAAAATTATGCTTTACTACATTTTTATGAAATGTTAGCACAATCTCAAACACAATTAAGTTTTACTGCTGATTAAATTATCCAAGCAGCTTTTAAAACTGTCTGTCTCAGGAAAGCATTTTTTGTGTGTTGTCTCCATGCCAGAAAAGACTATCCTTCTACTGAAAAAGGTATTGGAATCATAAAATGGTTTGGATTGGAACGGACCTTAAAGACCATATAGTTCCAACTCTCCTGCCACAGGCAGGGACACCTTCCACCAGACCACGTTGCCCCAAGCCCCATCCAGCCTGGCCTGGAACCCTGCCAGGGAGGGGGCAGCCACAGCTGCTCTGGGCACCCTGTGCCAGTGCCTCATCGCCCTCACAGGGAAGAGTTTCTTCCTTATATCTAATGTGAATCAGTCTTCTTTCAGTTTAAAACTGTTACCCCTTGTCCTATCTACACTCCCTGATAAAGAGTCCCTCCCCACCTTTCCTGTACCCCCCTTTAAGTACTGGAAGGCCACTGTAAGGTCTCCCCAGAGCCTTCTCTTCTCCAGGCTGAACACCCTCAACTCTCTCAGCCTGCCCTCATAAGGGAGGTGCTCCAGACCCCTGATAATCTTTGTGGCCTCCTCTGGACCCACTCGAGCAGGTCCATGTTCTTCTGATATTGGGGGGCCCAGAGCTGGACACCGCACTGCAGGTGGGGTCTCACATGAGCAGAGTAGAGGGGGAGAATCCCCTCCCTCCACCTGCTGGCCACAATTCTGATGCAGCCCAGGACACGGTTGGCTTTTTGGGCTGTGAGTACACATTGCTAGCTCACAGTTTTCCATCCACTACTATCCCCAAGTCCTTCTCTGCAGGGCTGCTCTCAATCTACTCATCTCCCAGCCTGTATCTGTGCTTGGGATTGCCGTGACCCATGTGCAGGACCTTGCACTTGGCCTTGCATAACTTCATTGCCAACATAAATTAAAAATGAGAAATTTACATGTATTGGACTCAGACTTCCAAATCAGTTTACCTAAATTGCAAAAATGATAGGATCTATAAATCCTTTGTAAGTTTGTAGACACTGCTAGACATTCTGAAGAAGAAACTTAGGAGATGATTTGAAAACAATTACTTTTCTATTTAAATTCTAACTGCAGATTAAACAGGTAGCTGTAGGCATCCCAGTCAAAGAGGTGTTGGTCTTTGCCACATACATTAGTCTGACACAAAACAGGAAAAGGAAATAAATGCATGACTGAGATGTACATAATTGTCTTTGTGCTTTATAATATTCCTTTTTTGGCAGTTCAAATATAGAGTTAAGAAAAACAATTTGCAGTGAGCAGAGTTTTTTGTTCTTTGAACGTATCACATCATTTACAGCAGGTCTTTGAAAACACAATCATGGCAGAGGACCTTTTTTTTTCAGTCACATTCAAGGACTGTGCTAATGATTACTATACTACTGGCCTGGTATATTAGCCTTCCACTGCTATAAATACAAATTCAACCTTGATTTAAGAGGAAAAGGTAACATGAAATTCAGTATAATACACCAGTTCCTATTTGGGTACATCACTGCAAACTGAAGTACTCTCAGAAAAATAACTTTTAACATATTTGATAACTGAAAAATCTCTGGCCTTGGATATTTAAAAAATGCAGTACATCACCCTTCTCTGTATTAATGTCTGAGGCTTCTTCAACGCAAATGTGATTAGCTGTTGGTTCTTTATTTTAGAAAGGTGATGTTATCAGGTATGTGATGTCCATATCATCCTATTATGTTATCCTAGTTTTGGCTGGGACAGAGTTTATCTTCTCCCTAGTAGCTGGTACTGTGCTGTGTTTTGGATTTAGTGTGAGAATAATGTTGATAAGACACTGATGTTTTAGTTGTTGCTAAGAAGCACTTATCCTAAGTTAAGGATTTTTCCATTTCCCATGCTCTGCCAGCGAGCAGGTGCCCAAGAAGCTGGGAGGGAGCACGGCCAGGACAGCTGACCTGAACTAGCCCAAGGGATATTCTCTACCATAGGGTGTCATATACAAACAGGGGGGACATGGCCAGGAGTGGGGAGTCACTGCTCAGGGCCTGTCTGAGCATTGGTCAGCAAGTGGTGAGCAATCTCATTGGGCATCACTTGTTCGGTTTTCTTTCCTTTGGTTTTCTTTCTCTCTCTTTTAGTTCTATCCCTTGTCATTACATTATATTTTTTTGTTATTATTATTGTTCATATTTTTTATTTTAGTTATTAAACTCTCCTTAACTCACAAGTTTTACTTTTTTTTTCATCTGATTCTCCTCCCCATCTTGCTGCAGGTGGCACAAGTGAACTTTTTTTTTTTAATTTTATTCTACTGGAACAAGGATCAATATGAAGCAACCTCCAAAGTGTTCTGAATGAATACACAATTGGACCCATGTGTATTATCATAACTCATGATTCATCTATTACACTGAATATGCTGATAGAACATTTGTCTAACTCCAGTTGGGGATTTGTGATACACTAGATTTTCCTGAACGTGAGACTCTGAACAGTCAAAAGGAAAATAAAATTGTTTATGAATTCAGTAACCCACAAATCACATTCAAGAAGTTACTTTGGTGGTTTGAACCAAATCCCAAGGAATGCATTTTGCTACTGCCAAACCTGTAAGATTTGCTGCCATTTCATACTGGTTTACTGTGACTGCTAGTTGAGGACCACATTTAGAAAATGCAATGAACAGAGTATCTGTTACAACCACTGCCCACAAATAATACAAATTTCCAGCTTCTCATGGATATATAATCTACTGATTCAAATAAAAATCCTGGAATACTGCTATCCTAATACCATTTGCATGAAAATTGTTTATCAAAAAGGTTTCCTAACAGTATTTTACATGGAACACTTTTTATCTTCAAAAGCTGCAACTGCTTTCAACAGTTCATCTGTTTCAACAGCTGGCATTCTATATACTGTTAACACACAGATCTATCAATTCCTGTTAGATTATTTCCCAAGTCTCTAATTCAGCCTGCATGGACGGACAGTGTAGCCCATAAGGATCCTCAAGAAAAGTAACAGGACCTTCCGTGGAACAAAGAGCTTAGCTGCAAATTTAGCTGCCATGGCTCATGCAGCTTTACCTTTTTGCAGCCTTCTGAACAACTAACTTTCCCTCAAACATAAAGGTCTAACGTCACAGATATATAATTTAGGATACTTCCATTTTCTATATGAACCACATATCTTCACAGAAATGCTGTGAAACATATTTGGTTAATATCATATAAAGAAATCAGGAAATTCTGATTTAGGTACATTTCATGTACCTTTATTTCACATTCTTCTTCCACAGAAAAATTGCCAGATTTAACATATGCTTCTAACTGAAGTGTTTAATTTCCTAAATAAGCTTGGACAGAAATTGCTTTGTTATTACCTGATCTTGTCTTGTCATGGATTTCATGTCATCTCTATGGTACAGATTGGCCAACAGAAAAGGGACACAAAATGAAGATATGAATGAAAACAGAGCTAAGATATCTAAGCTTAGTTCTACAAGCTTATAACCATATTTCCAAATCAATCTTCTGCATTCCAGTTACTTTTGTTAGACTTATGATAAGCCTCAATTTCCAACAAAAAAATTCTTACTCTAAGCATTCCTGAAACACTTGAAATGTTCATGCTTCAAAATACTGTTGGTTTTTGCTTGAAAATCCTTCCAACACCGGTATCGTAGCAAGCAGAAATAAAAAGAAAGCAAACAAGACATAACAAGTAGAAAGCAGAGAAGAAGAAACATATTATTTCTTAATTTAGAAGAGAAATTTAGGCTTGAAACTTTGTTTATGAACGTCTCCTTGCAGCGACCTGTACTTGCACAAGACAGACAAAAAGAGATTTTAATTAATTTTGCATTATTCTCTACCTGTGCAGGAAGTTAAAGGACACATTTCCAGAAAGAATGGAGCCAAAGATGTGCATACCAATATCTCAGTCTCTATAGGGTTTTTTTTACCCTTCATCTTGCAAAGTACCCAAGCAAAAATGCCAGTGAATACAGCACACAGATGCCATTACATGACATGAATTCTGTGAAACCTGCGCTTCACAAAAGCTGTTCATTTCCTCAGTAAAGTCTATTTATTGGCAACAGGGGGACAAGGGGAAAGAGAAGCAAAATGAGGGTTTTCAGGACACTGACAGTGTCTGAAGGTTAGGTCAATTATTCCTTAGTTATCAGCATAAACACTATCTCCACCAGTGTCATTATTCTAGATTATTACTTTAAATTCATCTTCCTCTACTTTGTTTTCATTGGTTCAGCTAGGGAAGAAGCAAAAGTGTTTTAAAAAAATAAAAAACTCTAATGTTTATTTCTATCAAGTACCTCCCCTTGTATGACCTGTTGCAAAGAATTAATTGGCATTATTATTGCAGCTCTTTGTCTGTCTAATAAGAGAGTAACAGTATCACATATTGTGACTACATGAAGTTTATGATCAGGGTAAGTTTAAAAGTGCGTAAGTCTAATTCCGTGTTAGTTGGATTTAGACTTCTAAAGTCTTGGAGATATTACCAACATTTTCCCCAAAGTATATTGCATCAGACAGACCAAATCAAAGGCAGCTAGACAGAATTTTTAAAAATTAATAGACCTACAAAATAAGTTTTAGAAAGAACTCCTGATCCTCAAAATTGAACAGACCACGGAAGAAATTAGGCATTTTTGCCACCCTGTTACCAATAAATTATTGTAAAATATATTAATCCTTGTTTCATATGTTTTGGGTGTTTTTAGAAGAATCTATAAAATTCATGTAGTGGTTCCTCAAATTAATTTAACAATTAAACGTACCTTTACAAAACATACCTTGATCTGTTTTAAAACATTTGCAACAAGGAAAAATTCTGTGCTCTCAGTTATGTGCATATAAACTCACAGAGAGCAAACAGAACAAGAAATCTGCAATTGTGTAAATAAAGGCAGAATTTGGTTTCTGTGATCTATCTGTACTACATAGTTTTTTTTTCAGGAATTCATTCATCTTTGCAAATATTGACATAGAAGGCACAATAAATGAGCTATATGTAAAGATTCATACCAAGATATTCAACACCTAGCCTTTCACATGACTCCAAGCAGGCTTTTTTTGTGTTTTCATAGCCATAATCACTATGCCACAGTTTGGTAGTTATCCAGAGGTCTTCTCGCTTCACATCACTCTCTCTGATGGCCTTCTGGAGGAGAGATTCACATCCATATCTTTTTGCTGTGTCAATATGACGAATGCCACATTTTTGTAATGCATGGACCACAGCATCATGGGAATAGCCGCCTTGATGGGAAGTACCTAAACCAACAAAATCAGAAGTGAATTGTCAGCAGTGATTTATGAGGGACATATTTTATGATTCTTTTTAATTTTTGTTTTCCTTTCTTTGTATAATGTCACAGAACCTTCTTATTTATTTTTTATTTCCTAATAGTAAAGAAATGGGAACTGATAGATCTCTAGGCTGGGAAAATACATAAAGTGCTAGAATGTTGACGCCAATTAGAAATAATTCCAAAATCAAATATCAACAGCATTTAACTGTAAAGAAGTGATTTCAGAAGTCAGGCTGAAGACCATCAAGGAGAAAACACATACTTCATGGAAAATTAGTATATGGCACTTAATTTTCATATAGGAGCACAACATTTACAGGTGAAAATATTGACAATACAAAATAAAACATAACTTAAAAAGCAATTTACTTTGCAGAAATCATATCCTGAAACCTTTACTCTGTTGAACTCCTGTCAGCTTCAAGTTATTATTGCATTGTACAACCCCAGACCAGGCCATACTGCAGGTGCAATTCACATAATGTCAAGCTCAGCAGTAGCCAAAACAATGGAATCCTACACAAGAGTTATAGAATGGGCATACAGGGAGTTTCAGTAACAAAGTACTGTAACTCTCATTGTGTAGGTATTCACTGGATGCGTATTTTGCATGTCAAGGGGACGGAAGGAGGAGGAGACTCAGCAGGAAAGGCAACCAGCAGGAGGACTGTCAGATAAAGAACTGGTTGAGAGCAAGGAGGATGATGTTTCTACTTACCCTTTCCTGTTAGTTGTTTTTCCTGCTATGAGCCCCTCACCCATTCACCCTCTCTCACACTTCCCACAAACAGTATTTTCTACAGTTTGTTGGAGGAAATGCTCAGTCAGTTCCAGTCGGCTATCAAAGCCACCTTCTAAGATGATGATTAGCACTTAAAGGCCCTAGTCCTATAAAAAATAGTCGGCATACAAATGGCTACACCGTTAACTTCAGAAGGGCCCTTTATAGTCATGACAGTTGACAGCAACAGGATCTTCAGCCACTGGTGAATCGAAATAAAGGACTCCAAGTCAAAAAAATATAATATATAGTGAAATTTGTATTTGCTGTTAACTTTCTCTTTTCCTCCAAAGGTAGTGTTTGATGTAGAAGTAATTAGTTGCATGTTACAAAGTTAACAAGTGTATATAGCTACCCAGACTGGCAGAAGAAGGAAACAAATGAAAACACACACAGTTACCTTAGACTCATCCTTAGAACTTCCTATACCTGAACTGGAAAGAGAACACCCACTGGACTCTGCATGACTTTCTCACACATGTTGTAACACGTGCAAGAATGAGAAGAACTTACAAAAGTCCTACTTGCATGTAAGGCAAGCCAGATTCTCCTAAATGCTCATCATTTTTATTCATTCCTAATCTTAGAAAGAAAGGTAATGTGTAATCTTGCTCAATACTCTAAGTCATTTAAAATATGATATAATATGGTCTGATACCACACATGTACGTACACCTGAGAATCATGACATTCTGCTGATCAGTGGGACAATTCCCACTTTATGTTTATGACCCACAAAATGTGGAGTATTGAATTCTTGATATATCTTCGTGGATTTAAAAGTGATTAAATTGTAATACTACATTCTGACAATTTTGACATGCACAAATTTTACCTTCCAAATGTAAACAAAGTTTTAACATTTTAAAAGACAAAACTTTAAAACTTTTTTCTCCATAGTCACTAATCATGATTAATAACTCACTTAATTTGAATAATGTAGAAATAGATGTCCTTACAAATTTTCTTACATCAAAGTAAGTCAAGCTAGATCAACTTACATTTTCCAAACAGCTATTTCAAAATCTTCATGAATGTTTAAGAATTTTAGATTAATGCAATGCTACTACATTGCAACTATGGGGAAAGAATATATATACAATTATTATATTAATTCAGATCCTAAAGGAATTTTATTAAATAATTATATAACTAGCATAGAAAAATTACTATACTTTTTCATAACAATCCCTTCACTTTTAATAACCTGGTACTGGTGCCAAATAAATGAGGTTGTAACTATTGTGTCTGTTTCTGGCTGAATGGACATTTCTAAGCACAGAATGAATGGAGTTCATTTAGAGGTCTTGCAAATGGACTCAGACTCTTTTCATGCATAATGGATTTCAGTAAGAACATTTAGGACAAACAACTTTTTTTTCTTTTTTTTTTTAATTTATCCCTTTTAAGTTAAAGGGAGAGAGTGGAAAAGAAGGAAAATTCAGAATAATTTTGTTATTGTTCCCCCTTCAGTGATGGCATGAATTCTTGTTTTACAGGAAATAAAGAGGCCAAGATCAGTCTGGAGGGAATTATCTCAATTTCTATGCCTAAAAGTGAACTACAACAGTCCTGATGCACTAAGTAGTAATTAAAAAGAAAGCTTAACAATTATTTAATATTACCACTTTGCAAGCCAACTTAATAATGAACAACAGATTTCTAAGTTAATTACGCTACCAACTTAACAGCTTCTAGACTTTAGAAATCAGTTTTCTTGTGTTCACTTATGCAATTAAATGTTACAATTCACAGATGCAGAATGGTGTCAAAGGTGGAGTAACTTAAGTTTCTATTTTTTTTCAGTATTTTAAATCCAGACTTAACATTATTTGAACACCTTAACATTCTTACATGTTTGGCATTACCCTTTGTTCACAGAGATGTAATTCACACTGTACATGTATATTTAAAGACAGAATCCAATCTCGCATTTAAAATTAATATGAACTAGCTTCCATTCCATCCTCTTACTGTTCTTAAAAATACTGAATTAATATATTTTTATTCTAGAATTGTCTGATAAAAAACAGGAATTCCTTTTAATAAATGAAGTAAAATATAAATAAGTCTGGAAAATCTCCCTAATTTTTAGCTAGTATTTTAACTTGTTTTCCTAGGGGAATAGCACTGTTCTCTCACTGACTGAGCTAACCTAAATTTGACACATCTGATGATGTCTGAGATAATTACATGCCTATAGATTTTGTGAAAATTGGTGGTTGAGAGGGACAAGGATGCCACAGCAGAAATATAGATATGCCAAAGGACACAAACCCATTAAAACTAGGCTTAGTTAGTTACATTGTTATTTTGTTGTGATTACTCATCACTTTGAGATCCTCAAGAACACTGCTATCAAAACTGGGATGAGAAACATGCTCTGGCAATCTGTAAAAAATTCCACAGATTATTAGGAAGGCAGAACCCTGTTCACAATGCAGCTGGAGGCAGGGGGCTGAGGGAAACAAACCCCCATCAGCAACGCTCCACCAACCCACTAAAAAGACAAAACCAACTTCTCCCCTTCCTGTTTCCCCCCAAAAAAACATCATACCAAAATGTAAAACAACTAATAAACCAAAACGCTAGTCTCCCCCTGCCAAGTTTTATGCACCATCTCAGCCGACTCAGCATTGTTAAAGTTTCTGTTCTCCTTCACAGAAGCTGTAGAACTACAGATAGAGATCCAAAACACCAGCAGTTTTTCAAAAGTGAATCAGGACCTACTTTCTCTCCCTGCTTTCTTCCTCCCTTTGTGGGGGAGCATGTCTTCATGTTCTTTGTGAAATGTGAAGGTATTATTTACCTGAATACATAAAAATGTTCTGTGACATGAATAACTGGCTACTTGAAATCTGGAATCGCTTATATTAGAAGAGTTCCTGTTAGTGAAACCACAGCCAGGATATTTAGAGATCCTAACAGAGATTAATGATCTTCTGACATCAGTACTAAAACAAAACAGTTGACAAAAACACCTACAAAAATGTCCATTCCTTTGCTGATTTATTTTTCATCTCCCAAGTAATCACTTGAGAAAAGAATTCTCCAAAACAAAAGCTCAAACATCCTTTTATCAATGTTTACGTGCTCATTGTATATATGGTATTGTATACCATAATAGGCTTGAAATATCTTGTTCTATTAGTTTTATTTCTATTATTTCAACATTACATCAACATTAGGGACACATAATGCATCTTACGAATATATTAAAGTTTTTGGTGTCAATATAGCTTGATTTCACTAATTACCTTATGAGCAAATTTGATGATAAAACATAAAATGTTGCCTATATATAGAGCAAATGAACATATAACACATTTCAAGGTTTATTGCTAATCATTCACAAAACCACATGCCTATTCTACGAAATGGCTCAATGATAGACAATGCTTACTTGCTGCCTTTTCCTTGATTACTGTCTTACTTCCTCCTCTTCCTCCACCTACTTCTGTATTCATATGATTGTCGGATAGTTGGATACAGATTGTTAAATGGACAAAAATGTATATAGTTTTAGAATTATTCATTAATCTGAATAGCTCCCCAGAGGGGAAAACACACTAAATTTTGGGCAAGGGACGGGGCAAGAAAAGTCACCCCTTTAGCAGCAGCAGCTAAATAATTTGATATAGTCAGTGTTTTAATAAAAATTTAAAACCAAACCAAAACCAACCCAAAAAACAGTCACCAAATCACAGTCGTGTTCAAGCCAACCACCAAATGATCAGAAACACCTCCTCTTTGAACTTGTCTCCTGGAGCCCTGCTTTCCATTATGTTTCCCAACAACATCCCTAGAGTTGCTCTCAGACAACCAGATCACATCACACTGAACTTTCTACAACCACAGCACTAGAACCCAAGTGTTGTTACTGCTGTATTTCAGCATATTTTTTACTTAACAGGGTAAAAATCTCTGAAAATTGTATTTAGCATCACATGACAAAGTATTCATAGCATCCTCTCTTCCTTTGTTGACAGAGTGTAGGGTTTCCCTTTGCATCAGGTGAAATCAAAGAAAGTCAAGCTTGTTATGAAGTTGTTATATTCTACAATTTTCATAAAGCGACTACAGAGTATTTCCAGTTATGGGATCCAAATTTAATCACAATCACCTTTACAAAATAACTTGGACATTTTACTCAGAGTCTAAGTGTAGCATCTAATGTATAT